CTCGGGGAGCAGTATCTCTATGAGCAGCTGCAGCTAGGCAGAAAGCAGTGTGTGTTTGTGGCCTTCCAGGCAGGTCTGGCTGGAGCAAGGGGCTGCCTGGTGCTGGAGGCAGAGTTCTTTCAACCTGTGAATCTCTTAGCAAGTTTGGGTTTGTATAATTAATCTGTGTTAGACGGATGAAATAATGGATGAACTTGTTGCAGTTTTCTCTAGGGAAACAGGCAAGGTGCTGACTAGATCCTGTTATAAACAGAGCAGCTAAACAGGAATAGAATGAAGGTATGGGAACATCTGAACCAGCATGTGGTACAGCCTTTGCAACACTCTTTACAAAGGTAAATTGTGTCTAAGCTGTTTTCCAAGAGAACTATCACAGATTTTTCTTTGTGGATGACAAAGTATAGTGTAACAGTGCAAAAGAAGCTCTCTGTTAAATGGAGACACCACAGCAGAGTGAAAACTATTAAAAGTTCACTCACAAAAATAAAGTGAAATAGAAAAGTAAAGAAAAAAAATAAATCGATGATTAATTAATTTTTTTGTGAATTTGTTTGATAAACCATCAAATTAATTCTATAAATATTAATAAACATGCAGTGAGCTAGTGTTGTTTTCCAGGCTATATTGATCATATTAATGAGAATGGTAACATTGGCATTTTGATTATGATGAAAAGAACTGTGTTCAGGTTGTTGCATTTTCCATCTGAAACAAATTGGCCTTCTTTTTTTTCTGAAGTTTTGGAAGAAGAACACTAAATACACAGAAATGATCATAATATCACAGAATGGCTTTGGTTGGTTGGAAGGGATCTTAAAACCCACCCAGTTGCAACTGCTGCTGTGGTCTGACTGCCCAGAGCCCAGCCAGCACAACCTTGGACACCTCCAGTGAGTTATCTCATCTTAAGCCCTCTTCACTCCTCCTGTCAAATCTGGAATGCTTCCCATGAATGAGCCCTGAAGATAAAATTCTATTGACAACTATGGTTATGCAACGTTCAAAAAGGGAAAGTATGACCTGTGGAGCAGTAAATTTAAAAAATAAAACAAAACACAAAGAAAAGAAAAAAACAAAACAAAACAAAAAAAAAAACAAAAACCAGATTCCACAGATCAGAGGATTGCAGTGCAGCTTATGAACTTTAGTGGTAGCATATATACGTAAAGGTGGTGCATGAGAGCAGTTTTAGTAGAGATGAATTGTTAAAAACTGTTTTTCAACTTATTGAGTAAATGTTTGGCTGCCTTAAACACTTATCTTTACAAACTAAATGAGAAAACATCACTGAGCTGCTACCAATATTGAGCAGCCCAGCCTGAAACCTCATGGTATATGAGAAGCAAAAAAATAGAAGAAATATATAAATAAGTTCTGTGTATGCCATAGTGTAAGCACAAGTTTGGGTTCTTTTCTTCTTCTCTTACATTTCTTCTCTGGGAGCAGTTCAGATAATTGCACATCTTAATTGCCCTAAGACTCCTGCACAACGTTAAAAAGTGTATAGAAAATAAGCATATAGAAAATACGCTAAAATTATTCAGTGAAGAACCTTGCATTTTCTATGAACAAAAGGAAGATATTTCCTGGCTAGAGCTTAAGGATAAGGAATGTTTTTAGAATTCAATGAAGTTGATGCATGATAGAAATGTAGTCCAAGCCCTAATGGGCATCCTTTCAAATCCTTCTGGCAGCACAGAGGTAGCTAGGAGTGAAATGTAACGAAGAAGACACGAATGAATGGTATCAGAAGATGAAATAGCATCAAAACGTTAAGAGGTCTGAGAAGCTGATAAAGTCCACAGGATGGAGGTTTCCATAGAAATTCTGAGCATTGTTTCAGTAGCTTCAAGTTCTAATCTGTCAGCCAAGATCACCATCCAACCACAGATGGACGCAGGTAGGCCTGTATGGTGTTGTATGGGAACTGTTGAGTCATGGCCTGAACTGCTGATTGAACACCTGGGGAATGGACCCAGTCAGCCCTGGGAGCACAGGTGAAGGCAATTCATCTGTGTGACTGGAAAGGGTGGAGCTCGGTTGCAGCTCTCTTAGACCTCATTGAAGGGCTGACTGCCAGTATGGAAGGATCTCTTTTTGAAGATCCCTTCTTGAAGCTTTCCCCTTTGAACCTAGAATCTTCTGATATGGGTGAGCAAACTTTTTCCCTTCCTTTATTATCATTCTTCTATCATGGCAGTTTTTCCATCATTGCACCTTTGTTGTAATGCCTTTCCCATCATATTGATCTGTTCTATGGTTGCAAGCGTATTGGGTTCTTCTTTGTTTGGTAAGGATATTCTCACAAAACTTTTAATTTTTTATGTGGATATTATTAAAGTTGGAGCTTGGTCTGGACACTATGTGATTTTGTAGCTTTTTCTGTGCACTGCAATTCTTGTCATGAAGTTATTAGTAAGGAGGAATGAAATGTAATTGCAATAGGACAGTGAGGTCATACTCATAACTTGTTCTTACCAGTTAAGCATTGCACTCTTGTGATCTCTGTGTTTTACTTTAGCTTGGAACTGCTTTTTAACTTTGGAAATTTTCAGTAGTGAAGCTAAGATGGGAATTACTGGACATTACTGGAATTATGTGTCTTTGAACAGTAAGCATTCTGGAAATTAGAGAGTATGTAATGATCAGCACGCTCACATATTTCAAAATGCTGCACTCTTCTGACAGTTCTTTCAATAATTTTTAGTAAAATACATCTGTAGCCATTGTTTAATCCCCCCTACACCTGCAAATTATAACGCGGAGTGTCATGATTTATTTCACAGGATAAAAGCTGTTAAATGAATACTGACAGCACCATTAGAGTTCTGATCTTGAAATGAAGTGCAAGTCAACTCTGCTTAAGTTGTCGTTCTCTCGAGTCACAAATAAATGTGTGGTTAAAAGGGTGCCATAAGTTAATCAGGGCAAAATTAGTAAAGAAATATCAGTAAGGAAGTGAGCCAACCAGTAAATGGTTCATTGAACCTCTTAGTCTGTAAGAGTTTCTGTAAGTGGATGATACCAAGTACTACGAACTCTAGAATAAAGCAGAATGCTGAAATGGGGCAAACGTTTGACTCATTCTGCATGAACTAAGATGTGTCAGTACTATTTCAGTGGCTGAATCTTGTGCTTCGATAGCTCCCACCTGTACCCACTGCCTTGTTCCCATTAGTGGCAAGCAGTGCTCAAGCAGGCTCCATGCATGATGGAGTCCTCTCTGACCGCTGCCTTCTGGGAAGTCTTGGTGAAAAGTGAAGTAGAGAAAAGCAAATTAACGAAGCTTCTAGTTCTCCTTAATTTATCCTGCTGAGGATCATCAGCTACCATTGTTCTGCCCTAGAAACCATTCCTTGAAGTCGTCTTCTAGCAAAGAAAATGAGTCTTCTTGCTTGCACAGAAATAAGATACTTAATTTGTCTTCTAACCTCTTCAGAACTAATACAGATTTGTATTATAAACAGTTACAGATCATCCACTTTTTTTTCTAAAATATCATATTCATTCTCATTTGTTCTCTAATGCAATGTTTCACGTTCTGTTCTTTTTAAACACACTCAAATTTATTTTTTCTCTAGTCATACAGATCCATCCAATAGATACTACATGTTGCCCTTTTTGGAGGGGAAAGCTGGATCTGTCTGTCCTTTTGAATGTTAATGTTTGTCACTAGAGCCCTATGAATACCGTTGTATTATAAATATTTATCACAACTATTTTAATACTAGCAGCTGTGATCCTTTAATGTGCAGAGTCTGTGTTGTAAAGATCCAAATGCTCTGTAGCTCTTCCCAATTTCCCGAAGATTTGTAATTGTTCATATTTGGCACTCCTCTACTGGAGCTTAGCATAGCCCAAGGAGGAACTTGTTAATGAGAAATAATTCTTTTCTCTCCCACTATAACTTCAACGCAAAATTTAGACAATTTTGAACCTTTACTTGCAATTTTTTTTTTCTGAGCCATTTCATCCAGTCAGTTTGTCTATCTGAAATGGTCTACAATATTAAAACTAAAACATGAGTCATGAAACCTTCCAAACTAGCTTATTCTTTTAAGGCACTGGCAATAATATACAGCTTCTATGAGAATCTCCATATTCAATACACGTATCTTATGCATAGTAGTTAATCAAGTATTTTTTTAATCATAAAGTGTCTATACAAGGGTTGTCTGAAAGAAATGCCTTCTATTTTGTTATATTGGCCCTGTCAGTTGTTGGTGGAATGACAGTAATGGCTGAGCCTTTCCACCAGTCATAGGATCTTTGAATTGTTTGGATTGGAAGGGACATTTAAGATGATCTAGTTCCAACACCCTGCTATAGGCAGAGACACCTCCCTCTAGACCAGGTTGCTCAAAGTCCCATCCAGCCTGGCCTGGCTGATCTGTTACATCTTGTTCCCTTATGACAGATGGCAGCAGAGGGGCAATCTGACAAAATGGCATCAGACATGGAAGTGCATATAAAGCAAAAGTGTGGGGGGAAAAGTGATACCCGCTGACGTTTATTGACATCTGCTGACAAACCAGTGGATGTGAGCACAGTGAGGTGATGGTGAATGGTATGCAGTGGTGACATTAATAGTGGTCGCAGACTGTGACCAGTTGGTGCAGTTATGCAGTTATGCGCAGGCGCTGCAGGCGCTTGTTTATCACTGGCAAAAGTGCATTGCTAAGGCAGGTGTCTGTGTTGGAAAACAGAGTTTTGTAGCTGAGAATTTCATCTATCAAATAGTCTTATTTTGCTCTTTGTATCCATCGCAGTTTCCGTATAAATAAATAGGAGGCATTACTTTCAGAGTGGCCTGCATATAGTTTTACTTTTTAAAAATGAATTTCAATCAGGTTTTTTCAGTTGCTTAAAAAAATGTACTCCAGTAATTCAAAACTAACATAGTTAATAACTGTTGAGTGAAAACAACCAAGCAGAAAACCTTATGTGATATGATGAAATGAATCCTCATTCAAAATGAAATATTTCTCTTTATCATTTAGAAATCCAAATGGGACCCTGATTAATGGAACAAGATGGCCAGTCTTTACCAGTACTGAACAAAAATATTTGACATTAAATACTGATGCTTCGGAGGTACTTACAAAACTACGTGCTCAGCAGTGTCGCTTCTGGAATATTTTTTTTCCCAAAGTACTGGAAATGACAGGTAAAAATGCTTTTTAGATACTTTAATCTAAATTGTTTCATGCAAGGCTTGTTTGCTTGGTATTAATGTGATAATTCAATCTAAGCCTTCATGTTTCCATTTTGTAACTCTATTTCCATAAGATGTTCAGATGTTAGATAAAATTTCCGGAGCTGCAGTGATGGGCATCATACTCTATGGAAAAGAAAAGAATCACTGAACCTGGATCCTAAGCTAGCAGTGAGACAAGAATGTTGTTAAGTAGTGCTGCTTTGTCATATGTCTACATCTATCAGTCCCTGAAATACTGTAACAGAAATACTGCTTTTATATTTATGTTCCCTACACAATCTTGCACAGTTCTGACAAAGAAACATTTAGGTTTCTACTTGCAACCATGACGTAACACTTTGTAATGTAACAATTCTCTTTGCTGAAATAGTGTTTTGCATTCCCTATCTCCACTTATGCCCAAAAGAACTCATGGGACAGTACATTTCATATATATAAAGTATTTCTTCATCAACTGATGCTTCTTCCATCATTTCTTCTACTGAAACAGACAAGCAGGGTTACTTTATTATGATATAAGGTGGTAGAAAACAAGGTATAAGGAAATGCTGTGTCATTGCTGCAAGTTGTAGTTCAAGCTTAGTTCAGATAGACAAAGTAGGGTTGCATCAGTTAGGACATGAAGACAATCAAACTGAGTTATTTTGCAGACCTTGCACTGCTGAATGGTCAGTTTGACATGGATGTGCTTATCAAGGAACCAGATACTGATCCTTGCATAAGTTGTGCTACACCTTTGACATCTTCTCCATATGGCACTGCTGAGTCTGAGCAAGCAGGTTGCCGTGGCAGACCAAGGCAGGTTCACTGAGGCAGTTCTAGTTCCCACTGTCTTTGTGGTTAGGTATTTTGATCACGCAAAATGATCTGATGTGTTCAAAAATATGTATAAATAAACCTTGTGGTTTAGGGTTGAGAAAATTAAGAAGAAAAAAAAATAATAAAACTCACTAATGTAACACTCAGATAATTCTGACCTTTCTATCTCTAGAGTATTTTCTATGATTTTTGGAAGATTTCTTAAGGTCTCCCCCCTCGATTGGGATATGTAAGATTATATCTGAAGATGTGAGTTTAAGTTGGTAGGCAGATACACCAGACTTAGACATGTGTTATGTGGGTTCTCAATCCCAGCTTGACACAATTGCTACTCACATACACATGTGTAGGTAGCTCTATTGCAAAGGGCCAACTGCACACAGAGTACCCTCCCTTCACAGTCACCCAAAGATAAAGCAGGAGCATTCAGCATTTAATGTTTCATTCGAGGACAGAAGCACCGGGACAACCACCAGAATGTTTTCTGATGATGGCTTCTAAAAGAAACACACTGGAGGGACAATAAACAGTAAGTGACTCTTAAGAAGCTTTTAGAGCAATCATATGTTAATTATAAAAGCATCTCTGTAAGACTCTACCTCCTCAAATGATCTTTAACGCATCCTGAGCCCCAGCTATTTACATCTCTGTTTCCTCTAGATTATAGAAAGCTGCAGGTAGCCAAGATTTCCATTTACCTTTCATTACTATTTTAGTGTCCAATATATATAGTGCATACATTTCTGTTTCACTTGATATTATTGCATCATACATCATCTATAAGGAAGTCAAACTTCAAAGTGGCCATTGGAAATATATTGTATTAAGAAGTAAATACGTAGGCTCTGAAAAGATATTAACTAGAGACAGAGGGAAGTTCAACCTCTTGAGTAGTAATAACCAAAATCACTGTGTTTGCTATGAACCTCTCAAAAGCATCTGGACTCCATAAAACAATACTTAGAGTATTCAGGCTATAAAAGGTGTGATGACTTAGAAAAGTCACCATCAGAATTAGTTGCCTATTTCCATAGAACTATGTACTGCAGTCCTTATGCATGCAAAAAGTGGATTAGCCAAAACAAACCTCACTTGCAGGTGACAAAGAAAATTCCACTCTGTACCTATGACAGCCACCTGTGGACCTTTATAATCTTAATTCTTCCCAGCTCCAGCATTTTGCATACTGGATGTGAGAGGGAGAACAGTTCTTAAAATTATTCACCCTCAAGATAGGGCAACTTCCATTTGATGATAATAATAACCTGAAGTCCTGAAAAATATATATAAAAACAAAATACACTGTTTGATTAATTTTATTTATTTATTTTTTTTTTTTAAAGCATTGATATTCAAAGCATGTGACTAAAAAGCATTGAATACAGAGATACTGAGATAGGTATTCTCCTTTCTGGCATATTGTGTGGAAGCTATCACCATGAGAGATACAGCAGCATAAAGCTGTAGTGTTTACGATACTGATGAACCAAGAAGTTTTGCAGGTACCAGCATTTACGAGCTGTTCAGGAGGACAGGAAAAAAAAAAAAGAATTCCAGCTTGTCATCCCTTATTAATTATGCTGTGTCATAACAGCAGCTTGGCCTTTGTCTCAATCTTAATGTTAATACTACAAAAATAAATTCAAGATTAGCACTTTACTGGCACATGTAGCAGAGCAACAAATGATGTTATGGAGATAAATATAACTTTGCTATAATGCCATTGAATTGAGGGCTGTATGCCTATGTGGAAAGAAAAGAAATGCCAGCTGCCTGTGCTGACACTGCTGAAGAATCAAAACAACCTTTTTTTTCTTTCCTCTGTTAAATTGGGACCTTTCTGAGCATTAAGGTATGATTCATCGCCTCCTGAAATTTCTCCCATTCTCCTTGTAAACTTCTATGTGCTTTGCATTAGGCTAATTAGTATCTCTGTAGAGTCGGGCTATCTAGAAGATGGCATATAGCAAAATAATCTCACTGTATTATCAGCTCACTACCTGAGAATTGCAGCAACCAGTGATCTGAGCTGTAATTATCAGTCAAGTCGAATTCTCTAATCTTTTATCCTTTTTTTCGTCTTTTTTTTTTTCCTGCTTTCTAGCTGTCAGCTCATCCAAGTCATAGGTGGTTGTTTCAAAGAGATTGATGATGTTGGTGATAATGGGATGCATTGACTTGTGACTTCAAGTTGAATCTTATCGCTGAAAAAGCAAACAAACAGGAATCCAAGTTCTTACTTCAGTGTTTTCCTTTCTCCCTCTTGTCTTTTAGATTCATAATGGTGGCAAGTCCGAATTTCTCATTGTCTGTTTTCTCCAGCTGAACTGTCTCATAATTTATACTCTCAACCAATGACTTTTAATTGAAGCTGTGTGTATTATAAAGTTATTTCACTTTCCAATGTCTTTGGGCACAAACGCTTTCTGCACATTAAGACTTCAAACACATCTAAACCTGAATAATTAAAGTAAGAACAGGTTTTTTTTGAATTCGTAAATGGAATCTTTGCCTGGATAAACAAAACTGAAAACTAGAAGAAGATCAGAAATGAGGTTTAAGTTTTCTTTCTTCTAATAATGCCAGTGATGGTTCATGTCAGATGACCAATCCTTCTGACACAAGTGGAAAATCTGGCTCTGCAATCCTGGGTAATTCCTGAAATTAGAAATGTGCAGAGATGAGTTCCTAGGGTCAAGAAAGCCAAACTGTGTGTGTGTGTGTGTGTGTGTGTGTGTGTGTGTGTGTGTGTGTGTGT